ATAATCTGGGAATTCATTGCTTTGGTTCATTGCAGTCGTCATAATTGAGCCTTTTTCTGTCTGTCTTTGCAGGAAATCAACTAGACTTCTTACTTTGCTAGCTGGTAGTCACACTTATTATTTGGCCATGGAGAATACCCTGGGTCCACATTTATCACAAACACATTGTTGGTTTACTATCTCTGCTTTATAACTGGAAGGTGATCTAAGTCTAGGTTTGTCTCAAAATTATCAATGGTATATATTTCAGCTCATTTGGGAGACCTACATGGGACAGCCTGTCCCTCTAAGTTTGTTTTAGGGGTGAAGGTCAGGCCAAACATCTTCGGCAAATTTGCTGGCCTGTGGTGTGGAACTCTAGGACTTTGATATTTTTTGCACAATCATTGTGAAGAGAATATCCACAGGATTCTATGAAGAAGAGCTGACCACAAATTCTACAGTGTTCTGATATGCTCTGAGCTCACAGGCCACTAGAAAAGTGAAGAACTGTTCTAAGTGTATCCCAGACTGTCAAGGCTGTTGTTATAGCTCTTTTTAGGCAAGGATCTCAGGCTTGCAGTCATTAGAATCTGTTCATGATTAAGAGTTTCATCCTGGCAGTAAGTACCAAAGTAATTCTACATTTAGTGGATGGTGTTTTGCTCCATGCTATGCTCTCAGAGGTTGGAGAGGAGTTTGTGCTGGCAGTCAGAACCATGCCAAAGCTGACATAAAGCTTTGTTCCATCCGGGACTCACAGCAACAAGTACCTGCCATGTCATGGGGCACACCCACACCAGGCCATAGCTCACAGCAATATGGGCAAAAAAATGTTCATCACACAAGTGACAAAGACCTGTGGGGTTCTACAGCATGGATAGAAAGAGCTGTACCTGAAAGCACTGGTCTTGGGATCTCTGCTTTGCCTGAGGTTAGGGAAAGTGTGATAATGGTGACCCTTTAATAGCTAAGTGGGCCTCACATGATTTTACCAGATGCAGGCACTTATGCAATCTTCTTGGACACAGACATTGTGTGAGATGCGCATCCTTAGCTCTCGGGTAGCTTCTTTATCATATAAGAGAAGGAGAGAGAGGCTGGATAGAAGCCACAGATGGTGGCTTTCCCTTTGCTCTTTGCTCTTTTCTGCTGCCATTAACTGCTTCCCTTTGCCATGTGTCACTCTGCATGGGAGCCAGCCAAATACAGACTAAGCCTGCAGAAACTGTGAGCTAAACAAACCTTTTCTTCCTTAATTTTGGACGTTGGGTATTTTGTCCCAGCAAAGACTAAAAAATAACTGAGACAATATGGTTTCCCTGATCATAGGACATAAGTCTAGGTAAAGATAGTAAAAGTTACAGTAAACCTTTTTGGCAGCATCCTACAGACTTTCCTCAAGTTGATGGGATATTTATTTAGTCAAGGGGTTCTGGGTCTCAATACAACTTTATGACACGTGATCATATCAGTGGGGTGAGTCACTGTTGTAATGACTCTAGATTCACTGTCATTCATCTGTTCTGAACAATTACTCTGAATAAATAAATCTTGTAAATATGTAGTAGATTTCCTATTTTACACTTGGCAATAGAATGAGTATCTAGCCAAAACTAAAGATCTGCATAAGTCAGACAAGTTTCATTGTCAACAAAGCATTTGCCCCTAAGCTCCATTATAATACATTCACCCATCTTTTATGATGCTTGAGTACTTCTACTTTGCTACTCCACAGTTCAATTACAGCCACTATACTTCTATTCCACAAATGATTCACCATTGTCCCACTGCAATGTTACTGGTATACTAAGACCAGTAACAGGGCACTGAAATACTGCTTATGTTCCACTTCAAAATCTTCTCTTTATGGCATTATTGAGGAGCACATCCTCTGCATCCTCAAATTGGGATGAGTAGGTTTCACATGGAAAATCCACTCCACCATTCTGGTCTCCTTGAACCTTTGAATTCCTACCTAAATAGTAAACCAAGAAAATAAGAATCTTCACCCCATTCACAGTGATCCATCTTTAGAACCATATTTCTAAAACATATCAAATAAACCATGAGACACCTTTACTAAAAAAATAAGTTTGTAAGTACAGTTTTGGTATACATAATGATCACATATAGTGAATCTGTAAATAATATATCTTCATTCTTCTTTTTTTCCACCATTCCCTTTCTTCCAGTCACAGTTTACCTCTATTAACTCTAAAATTAAATCGGGAATCCTAATCTAGCGAGATGATATCAAGAAATTAATCTTGATTCTGGCTGTTATAGAAATCTTCGATTGCAATCTCAGGTTTCTAAGAATCAGACCTCTAAAAATGGACACTTTCGTGGTGAATGAGCACATCTTATACCATAAATCATACCAATATTCCAAAATTCTTAAAGTTTTTAATCCTTTTCTTAAATTTTGGTCCTGGGAGACACATCATGCATAGTTTATTGATTGCAGACTCCCTTTTTGCTTCTGGAGTGGTCAGCTGTCCAAAAGAACCATTCCTAACTGAATGAGCTACAAAATTTAAGGAACTTTGTATAATGAACCTATTAATTAATTTGACTTGTTCTCCTGTTATGCTTTTCTTCTCAGTTTCCACACTCTTAATAAGCACCACTACTTAATAAGTGTGTATCTGGAATTCTGTCTATGCAAGTTACAAAAGTCTTGAGGTTCTTTGGAGGATATCACAGTCTTGGGTAACATTTCATACCAAGTTTAACTAAACATAAAGAAAGAAAGGAATGTTCTGGGGGAGAATCCTAAAGCTTGTCAGAATTGTATTGTACAGCTGTGAATTGATAATATAAGCCTCTGAGGAGAGGCAACACAGTGGTTACTTCTTTCACTCATGAACTGAGTTTCTTCCAGGATTCTTGAAAGATGACAATGGTCATGTTTCAATGTTTTTCACCTAATGCAACATTACAAAGAAACAACAAAAATGAATAAGCATCCTCTGGTTCAAGTGACTAAAGACATGCTTAATTGTCTTCCAAGTTGCCACTTTCATGAAAGTGGCACTAGTTGGTCCCTTTGAGAGACAATAACCTTGGATAAGAGTCCAATTGTAAAGGCTTGTTTTGAATTTGGTTACAGCACAGCACGTTGTCTTAAATTGGAGATGTTTATCACTCACAAACATTAGCATATCTCTATGTTCAATTGCATCAGTTCCCTCAGTCACCCAGTTACTAAAACAGTGAAGTTATTTTCATATCACACCAAAAATTGGAATAAACAGAATTTTTTAGTAAAATATTATTCGATTCCCTGGCCTGCAGTACTGGCATCATCCCTGGGCCACATTGATAACCAATTGAAGCTGGGCGTGGTGGTGCACATCTGTAATCCCAGCTCTTGGGAGGCTATAAACAGAAGGATCACTATGAGTCCGATCTAATGGTGAGACTCTGAAAACCTTGTAGACCCTTCCAACAACAACAAAAAGTAAAGCCATCATTCAACTGTGCCCCGGATCCTTACAGATTAGAAACACAACTGGCCTGCTCTTTGTTTTGCTCTACTTAAATATATTCTTTGTTTCCATGGCAACCACAATGGACTGTCATAGTTGTTGACACAAAAAATCATGGAATTCTCCTTTATGATTATCTTTGTTTCCTTCGTATCTCTTTTATGTGTAAAACATCTTAACAATGGTGGGGAAGGATTGAAGGAAGGACAGCATATTAAAAAGGTGGGGAAGGCTAAACTAGAAATTCTTGGGCTAGGATAAAATTAACCCTTTGAAAGCCTCCACCTCTTACAGGATCAGTATTGCAACCTGGAGCTCACCAATGCATTGAATCTCTCACCTTCCTCTATAGAAAATAACTACCTGGAGTTCTGTTTCTATCTCTCCATGTAGACAAGCATCACCTCCATGAAGTTTGAGTGGGGTGTTATCTCAAAGGTGCCAGGTGAAAGAAAAAAATGAGGGTACTGATTGAGGCAGGGGAAGAAAGGTTGGAAGTTCAACTATAGACTGGCTTCAACCCAGAGCCCCACAATCTCTGAGGCATACATGGGATTCCAGAACCTGAGCAATCAGAGCACCTTAGAGAAAAGGGGATCCAGTCTACTCTTCCTTTTGTGTCACTCATGTTCTGGCAATTGGGATGCTCTTAAGGGTTGGATTATGCCTTCAGTAAACCTCAGGTTTTCTGTAGTAAATATGATCACAGAAAGGCAGGGCTGTGCATTGTTTGCTGCCCAGACTCACAGATGCAGTGGCTGCTGTGCACTTGTCCCCCCCAGGGGATTTGAAAGGGATGCCCTTTCAAATGTTTTCATGTACAGTCCCCCTTTTAGGAATCAAGTTGAAGCCTTCAGCCTTAACAATCACATTGAAAAATCGCCTTCTCTCCCCAGTGAGTCTTTCTTCTTCATTCTACTTCTCAAACTGATGCTAGAGTTGCCATTCTAAAACTTCAATTGGATGACATCTAGTGACTTTACATGTAGCATGTAATGTGTTTACAACATTTCCCCTGTCCAGCTGACTTTAGGATTTCACATGATTAACAAGCCTTTCTAGAGGATGGCTCGTGTTTCTCGCATTGTATATTTTACACATTTCCATTACATTAACTTAGTGTCCATCTTAGTGCCTGACTCTCAACAAGACGGCATAAATGATGATCGAATAACAAACGAATCAGTATCCACTGAAATGTTGAACTGGAGAAGAAATGCAATTCCACTGTGCCCAACTCCTGGCCTGCTCATTCCACCGAGCCCCTTTGATCCCACAGGTGGTGCTTTCACTACTGTTTACATCTGCGTACTTTCTTGGTGACTTCTCCCACATTTCTGTTGCATGGCCCTCCACATGAAGTCCTTGAACTTTGCCCACCAGTACAAGTACAGCACCAGCAATAATTTCCTTCTCCATCCTGGGAGCCTTTCAGTGTATTCTTTGTGAATGAACAACTCCGCTGCCAATTTATTCACCTCTATGACCACAGAAAGTATCAGTGATCCTTGAGGCAAACCCTACATGTATAGTAAAGATGAAAATAGCTGAATGAAAAATATTTTATGAAGATAACATTTTGTTTCTGGACAGAGGTATATAGTTTTAAAAGCAACTTGTAAGAAAAAAAATTAAAAAAATTAACAGAATATTCTGACATCAACTAACTATCTGTATAGAATAATAGGATTAATATTCTCCAAGCTCTCAAAGGCTATAGCATTTTCACAAACTCCAAGTTATAGTTCTTTTAAGACTCAAGACAGGGCCAGGGAGATAGTTCAGTAGAATAAACACGTGCCTGCTTAGCGCAAGCACCTGAGTTCAATCCCGTTACACCAAAAAAAAAAAAAATTTGCACATACTCATAGTTGTGAACATATGTGAAAATAAAAATCATGTCACATAATTTCATGGCACTGGCAAATACTCTCAATCAAAAAAGAAAGAACATGGGGATTGAAGAAGTCTGGGAAAAGCAAGACTGAATTCTAGCATGTCCAGCATTAAGCTCCACAGCTCCTTACAGAGCAGCAAAGGCTAATGGCGGCACAATAGGTGCTACAGAGCAGAACCTCTGCTGGTTGCAGCCCACAAGGCTTTACTGTTGGATTTACTCTGGTAAAGGTGTTGCTTTCCTCTGCAGAAATTCACGTTGTTGGTATCTCTAACTTTTGAACCTATTGTATCTTTCATTTCCCTACCATATAGTCAAACACTGCCTTCTCAGGAACCTCTTTTCCAGCCTCCAGGCCTTCTGAAACTTGGGTGGAGTCCCTATGATCAGCCACTCTTGCATTCTGCATAGTAATGAAACCATCATTGCCCAGGTGACACCAAGTTCTGATGTCAGCAGGAACCCCAGTGAGGTCCTCATGGACAAGAGTGGAGGGGGCAGTGAGCATCAGGGCAGCTGAGCAATGTGAATCAAATTTCAGGCAACCAGTCCTGGAAGGCCTTCTCTACAGGGGCTCCGGAGCACTCCTCTCCAATGTATCACTGACATTTTTTCCACCCACTAATAATACAGGGGTTTTGCTATTTTTTTTTGAGTTGCTCTCAAGGCTTTGTTTCTGTTTTCCCATACAAAGTCTTTGATTTCCTTTTAATGCCACTAATCTTCAGGATCTGTACTTCTCGTAGGCACAGCTTTATACACAATTAACTTTGTGCTGAATGTTTGAGATATTTTCTTCTTATTGAACTCTTTTTCTTTGACTTTTTGTCCCCAATTCTCACTATACCCAACTCTAAAAAGATTTAGCAACATCCATACCACAGGGTTCACTTGTGGTGCCTTGAATGTTTCTTCACAAGATCATTCTACTATCTTTGATTTCAATTTTAATGTCTTCTTCACATATGGGAAAAAATATCTTGTTTTTGTTCCTATTCTTATTTGTCAATGTGTCACTGTTGGTGAAGCCCTTATTACTACCTAAAACTTACTGATCCTGACATTCACAGCATTCTGATTGTCTCAGCAATGAGGAGCATCACACTTCAGTTCTGCTGTGATATGCTATAGCCTCTTTGACATTCATTTCCAAGACCTCCAGAATATACAGTGGTGTATTTTTAAAGAAATGAGAACACTTATCTGTTGCTATTTATTCAAACAACACAATAGATTCAGCATAGAGGAAAAGGTTAATTTTGTTCATGGTTTCAAAAGAGTACTCTCATTGGCAGCTAGCTCCAAACAAGGTTGTTATGGCCGAGTGTGAGCTGGAAGGACAGGGCTTAATTCACAGACCTGCGAAGCAGAGCAGAGGACACCAGTAGAGTTATAGCAGCTAGCCCTATTCCTCCAGCTCAGACCACAGATGCCCATCAGAACACACCTCAAAGTGAGCCTTCTAGTCCCCTAGGTTGCTTTCAAGCCAAGCATGATCATAATTAAGCTTAACCTTCACAGAGAGCAAAATGTTTCTAGAAAAACAAGACCATCAATTTCACATTTAAAGTCATAGGAATGATAATGAACAGTTTGAGAATTTTGGAAAGATAATCCTTTGCCATGTACAAGGTGTCCAACAAAATTCTTCTCTCAAAAATAGTAGGGACCATACTGAATTATTCATTTCTTCATCATCTCCACTAGGATCATGGAGGCAGAGATGTGGTCTGAAAAATCAGTCATACCATGGGTCCTGACTCAACACAATGTGTATTGTGATTTTGCAGAATAACATGAGCATAACAGCAGTGCTTATCTTTTGAAGCCATGTACACATTACAGCTTAATAGCAATATATTTTGTTATTTAGAATTTTTTTATTTTATGTCAAAATAAAACAAAATTTCACAACAAAATAACAGATTAACAATAGTTATATTATTGCATGCTGTCTTCACAGTAGATAATCAATATGCAGAAATATTCCAAATTAAATCTCTCCTCCTTTGAATTTTGGTATCACACATTTTTCTCAGACAGTGAAGTGATTAATATAACACACATCCAAAAATTATCGAGTATAGCGGAAATAAAATTGAGAAAGCTATTGCAGAGCAAATCCTAAAAAGATGCATCCATTGCAGTTTGAAACAAAGTCTAATATTCATACATTTATTACTCCAAAATAATAATTTAGAATATATGCTATAGGAAAATGGGCCTTCTAGGCTTTAAAGAATCAGAATATCAAAATAAGATGAAGGTTGAGTATAAATACCTTCATCAGTCCCATGTACTTGGCTTTCCAGCCTTTCTTTTGAATTTCACATGGATACCCCTCTGAGGTTCAATCCTTGCATTCTCCATGCTAGAAAAACCATATCACATGTGAACCCCGAGGTCTGCTGCCATCTTGAGTGATGGACTGGCTATCCTAAGCCATGACACTAGTAAATCTGAGAGACTGGAGGCTGAATACAGTGAAAATATTTATGACGGACACATTTCCTGGAAAGCTGTGTACCAGGCAGCCAGAGTTCTCTTCTCTCAATTGAAAGTGTGGATGTCCAAAGAGCATCAAGACCAGGAGTAAGTGTGGGACCTACCATGCTCTCGCCACAACCTATTTTCAACCAGTTTCAAGGCCTATCCTCTATGTGGGCCCACAAATCCATGCGCT